GAGCGACCCAATAATCGCACCTCAAGGACAGCTTCAGTGTCCTCTTCTTCTTGGTTCAGAATCTCTATTGCCAGCGTCACTGACTCGTCTGTGTAGTACTGGTTGCGAACGTCCGGTAGGTTGATTTCCATCTTTGGCGGTTTGGGTAGTATGTGCACCGACATACCAGATCCATGCTTCAATGATCTTGATTTGATCTTGGTATCTGACTTGATCCACCAAACCGGATGAGTTGGAGTCTCTGGATCTGTGTCTGAGCAAACGAGATCAAACTTTTCCGTGCTGATGCCGAAGACGCACGCGACAACATCGACATCCCCAGACTCGCGCAGAATGAGTGGCAGACTGTACACTTTAGTCTGCCCCGGGTGGAGCGTCAGATCAGCTGTTCCGGCCCAGCGTGGCTTTCCGGTAGCGGAGTGAGTCTCTTCTAATGTGCAGGTGTACATGATTGAGGTACTTCCAGAGGGTTCGTCGGCGTTGTGATTCAAGCGGACTTCAGCCAAACCACCATTGAACTGATATCGGAGAAAAGATAACGTGATAGGTGCGGAGCCTGATCGAGCATTGGAGCTGATGGCAAGTTGTGCATGAAGGGGTTCGCCAACATTACCTTCTGCTTCAGCAAAGGCGAAGGACGTCGACACTGCAAGGTCAGCCTTTAAATTTTGGAAACGAGTTTCGCACTTACAGCAGGATATGTGGTCTTTAGCATTTAGACTCACGCTCACCTTCTCGGCAGTCGCATCCGAGAAGACGTCCAAACATGTCATCAAGTCGTACTTGTATTTTGTCTTGCCAGGGATCGCTGGTGGCTGTTAGTGAAGCTTCGTGTGAAAGGCGAATAACACTGACTTTGACTATACAGCTCCCACTCCGTTGCAACATATGATTCTCGGCTCTGTACTCGCAGTGCGCACTCATGCAGAGTCCATACTACCTCCGAAGCTAAGCTCCACCATCCTTCTTTCCGCCATGCCATTGTTTCCCAGAGTGATCGCAGTACTTTGAAAGCATCGTCAAATCTTTTCACGTGTAGCAATGTTCGAGCCACCTCGAGTTGCAACTGATCTACTTTCCGGTGTTGTCCCCGAGCTCTAAACTCAGCTATCGCAGCATTAAGCTTGGATGAGATATCTTTCCAGTGCTCGAATCCGTTGCCGATACCAGGTACAGGATACTCTTCGTGGGGTTGCGGAACGAGGTAGTGGTCGTATATCTGATTCCGAGCGGAGACCTTGGCGGCAGGAGACATGCCTGGCGGTGTTCTGTCTTCCTCTGGCATCTCTCTGGCAAGGATGTAACGCCTCTTTGCGTGGTCACTGGCAATCTTGTGCCAATATCCGGCATGATGTAATAGTTCCCATGGTGGTAGTCTTTCTCCTACCGGGAACTGCTTTTCGGGCTGAGAGTATAGCGAGTTAGGGATGTCTGGCAAGGGATCTGTGTCCGGGATAGGATCTCGTATCTTGAAGACTGGCAATTCTGTTCGTCGTACCGTCTCAGCCATCACTTGGGCCCATGTAGATTCCCAAGCTTGCCAGCCATAGTTGTTAGTACCCTTGCCCCGGCGATCGAGCACGTCTTGTAATTTCCACTTGTATCGTAACCAAGACTGGACCGCGGAAGTAGGGAAATTGTTCCATAGTTGACATCGAATGTGCCGTAGTGCGATGATATCTGCTAGCAATCGTATCTCGTCCCATCTTGGAGACCAGCTTGCCGTTGTTTCAAACAGACCCTCGGCACCAAACAATGCCTCCAACGCAGCCCCGTAGTGCCGCTGTGCAGCGTCCATCTCCTGGCGAAACTCGGCAAGGATACCAAGCTTGAAATCATAGCGAACACCCCATCCAGGATACGACAGTGTTTGGGATGTGCCTCGTGTCGGTGGAGCTGTTGGAGGAGGAATCGTTCCTCGCCCCTTCTTCCTCCGCGCATGTTTTGTGAGGTCTCGGTAATACTCGACACAGACAGGTTGTAGTATGGCAAGGATAGAAGTGACGAATGCCTGCAGTTCGACCTTGGACGTCCTGGGAGGCAGAAAGAAGAGTGAATTCTTTGGATCCAAGCCCGTAGCCCGCCGTATCGTCGCCAGTCGCTCTTCGATGTCTGGTGCTTCGATGATAGTCTTGTCACTCAGCAATACCACAACGTATCTTGTTCGGTAGTCTGACTTTTGTATCTGGCTCTTGATCTTGTTGATGTCCGTCTTCAGCTGATTATCGTGCAAGCTGTTCGTAATGGGGTCTGTGGTGAAGTTGAAGAAGGAGACGAATACGGAGGGAACGTAGTGCTGGTGTTTGGCGACCCAGGCAGGAGCGATGACGCCGTCGGGGAAGGAGGGCGACGCTGGAGAGAGGGGAGATATGGGCGAATGCAGGACCCATGATGTTGCGGCTGCGATGGTGGGACTACCTGGAGGGGTTGTCTCGGAGTTTGAGGGCGCATCTGCCTTTTTCGGGGGCAGTTGGAAGTTCTAGCAAACATCAGCCCATGGCTCCTTCCCGTGGCATAATCGCAGGCGCATGTACCCTTCCTACACTCCGTATCCTGAAGCCATGCGTAATGCCTCGGCGACTAAAGTCGCGCCCATTCCACGGCGCATTCGTGCCGTCTGCACTCAGAAACTCTTGGAGTAGTTCATTTGCCCGTTCACCTTCTGCAGGTGGTAAGTCTGAGCTGATGTTCGTAACAGCGCGTCCAGGAAGCACATGCTGAACCGATGGAGGGGGATCGGCCTCTTTGCTGGTCGCTAGGCCTGAAAGGACGATAAACGGTAGGTTGTGCGCAGTGAAGTCTGATGGGTATGCCTCCATTATAACTCCATGCCCGAGTCGCGTGGTTTCCAGCTTGTATCTCACAAGCGTGGTGTCGACGTGATGCTGCTTTTCGGAGTTGGGGGATAGCGGAAGTGCTGCGGAGTGGATTTGCTCGTCGCACGAGAATCGCAAAGCCAGACGTGGGCTTCCTAGGTGCTGTATCGGATTGGCGATATCAAGCGTGTTTGTGGCAGCATGGAGATAGTGTACAGATTGTTCGCGGCTTCGTCATCGATGGTCGCGGGTCGACACATGGGCGCGGGAAGCTAGCTGAACCCTTGCCATGCACGTTCTCTATGCCGCCCGATCCCTCCACACTTTCTCTCCGACACTCTACAGCTATACTTTTGCAATCCAGCTTCGCCGCTACGCGTATCCACACCTCCAAATACCTTTGACAGCGCAACAAGTCGTTGTACTAGCTGAACGCGCTCGTATCGATACTCCGCATCTTCACCACCTTACGCTCGCGCTGGCCAGAGGCCCTGACGCCATGGCGGGCCAACAGCAGCAGATTATGGATACCATTTTCAGCATGAAGAGGAAGATGCTGCGAAAAGACGACTGTAAGCTCATTCCTACCTCGACACAGGCACAGCTAACACTGCGCAGCCGACACAGAAGACTCCGAAACACCCTTGAACAGCAACAAGCAGGATCTGAGGCGCAAGGTCCATTATGCGCGCGCCAGCGACCCAGACTTCCTCTCTGACCCGCGACCGTACAAGAAGGTGCGTCTTGGCTTGTGCGACTCGGGTGTCGACTGTAGACTGACGCCTCCAGCGCATTGAGCACGCCGGCTACCACAGGTCCATCCTACAGCGCAACCCTCCACGATACGATGCGGACGGTGATGTCGTCGAAGTCGAAGAAGATTACGAAGACGAGGAAGATGTGGAGGCTGTCGAGGAGAATCCCTACGGCAACATACAGCTCGAGAGTCTTCTTGCGCCGCTCACCTCTGCCGCCGACCTACCCAATCACCCTGCCCTGAGTGTAGCATACTCCTCTCGGCATCTCACAGACCTCGCGACCGAAGCTGGAGCCCTTTCTCGAAAAGAGCAGGTCACTAACGCGCGGGCGAAGACTCTTTTCGTGAAATTACAGGGCGACTCCACGTTTGCGCCAGCTGCCCTGGCTGCCATGGGAAGGGCACCATTCCAGGAGCCATGGGCTAGCAGCGCAAATGGGCGCACGGGCGAAGGAGAGCAGCAACAACCCCACGATGCGGACATGCGCGAGACCATAGAAAGTCCCCATGACGTAGACATGGAGGATGCAGGCCAGCCAAATGGCACTAGCCGACAGGCCGAGACCAACGGCGATACGAGTTCAGAAAGGGTCAATGGCGCACATCCTGTGACCAACGGAACGCACGCAGGAGATGCAGAGCAGGCGCAAGAGAACGGAGAAGGAACGCCCGAAGACGCGTCTGATACCGCGTCGCAACAGACACACAGGATGACGACGCGCAGACGAGCACAGGCGCACGCAGCTTCGACTCCCTCCCCACCTCATTCACCCTCGAGTGGTGTCGGCGCAATACATCCTCTCTTCATACATCCGTCAGATTCGTTGCCAGACCGCGACTTTGGTCTTCCACCCAACGAAGCCGAGGAAACACGCATGCTCCTCATGGCCTACGTACAAAAACAGGAGGAGGTCGCACGGATAACATCCGACTTGTACCAAGGCCTGCTACAAGCCGACCGCATGAGGCAGGATGTATACAAGTGGTCAAAAGCGGAAGGCCATGTAGGAGAGATGAGCGATGGCGAGGACTGGTATGACCCCGAGGAGTGGGAGTTGGATGGTGAACTCGCAAAGGGTCGAGATGAAGAGGAGGACGATACAGCCGTGGCTGGCAAGAAGAGCACAAGGCAACGGCGGAAGCCGGACAAGGATGATCGATAGACTCGATTGCTGAAGCGGCAGGCCCCACGGACGCACCCTGAGTATTATCGTTGCGCGGATCCGTAAGACACGAATTCATGCTACGTTCTGGTTAGGACAGAATTTACACGAGTTGGGTTGCTCTTGCCTCAGTGAGCGGACCACGTGCTTTCGCGTCAACATCGTGCTTTCCATCCGCCGACGAAACTTCCTCCACTTCACAACCGCCACTCGCCATGGAGTACGTTCTGCGTTGCAATGAGCTCAAGTGTCGATCGCAGCTGCATGAACGCGCCGTGGTTACTACGTGCAGGTTTGTCCATCTCACCTGCCTCTGACGCTCTCGCTGACAATCGCATAAGTCACGTCTTTTGCAGCAATTGCGCAGATGTCACCGGGCTGTCGAGGTCTACGAACGCGCATCGAACTTGTCCAGCATGCAACTCCTCGCTGCACAACCCCGACGATGTGGTTGTGGCTGGTCTCAACCCATCAGAAGACTACAAGACGTCGGTACTTAGCGGCCTGAGTCCAACAATCATCATGGAGTGTGCCAGTCGTGGCTTGGCGTTCCATAGCTATCAGACGTCGCAGGAGATCATCTATCAGGAGCACCTCGCGAAAGGCTTGACTGGCAAGTACGATACGCTCAGTCAGCAGATGGATCAGCTCGTGCACGATGCGAATTCGCAGATCAAGGCATTGCAAGACAAGATGCAGGGTTGGTCATACCCTCTTCCTCTGAATGCTCCATTACTAACACTTCCGTAGCCATGCAAGCCGAACAGGAGGATCTCGAGGACAAAAACCATCAACTTCAGAAAGCGTTCAAAGAGAAGACGAAAGCGCATGCGCAGACCCAAGCGCACTACCAGCAATTGAAAAGTAAGGTCATGGCAACGGAGGTAGCTCATGCTGCTGGTGATGAGGCGGCGTACACGATCCAGACTGCTCGTGGAGACCGGTTCATCGACCGCCTTCCTGGCACGCGGACCGGAACGGCCAACTACAGTCAGATAAACATGTCGCAGCAGGCCGGTGGTGGTAGACCGCACAACAGAGACTTTAGTAGGAGTTCTGGGAGCAGTGGACGGCAGCAGCAGGGCGGTGTCCATCTCGGGCCTCCTTTTGATCCGCAGCTGCAGAGACGGGGATTGGGTGTGAGGAACAATACTGGTCGTGAGTTGTTTTCCTTTGAACGTAGAGAGCATCGCGCGCTGACACAGTGAAGATACAGCTCCAGTCGGGACGCCTTCGCAAGCTCATAGAAGTCAGCTTCCAGTCCTCGGTGGTTCACGCCAGCCTCCTCCGTACTTGAATCAGGATGCGCATTCCTCGTACCAAAACTCGCCCATGACCAGGCAGCCTCTTGCCAGTGGTGCGCGTGGTCTGGGCAACTTCATGCTTGGCAAGTCGTCAAGGAGGACTGGTGGTACCGCCAATACTGGTCCGCTAGGAAGATGAGATGAGGGGTGTGTGTCGGGTGTTGCCGCGATGGGGCATGGGAACTGAACATGGCGGAGGAACGGGCGACCCCTGTGTTTGACATGTGCGATGTGATGCATGCGTATACATCCGGTCTGCTATGCCATCATATTATGCAATATCCATCCCGCTGGTAGACATATCAAATCAAAAATACTAGACTAATGCTTTTGAACCCATGCTTGTCATCGGTACCCTTTCATGATCCGCACCTTCGTCGCAATGTCGGGCACACCGACTTAACGTTGGTTATAATTTTGCCTACTTCATCTTGTAAGTGAGGCAAAGCACTCAGTCAGGTATTGTATTTCTTAGCTTCGCATTACTTCCCCATCCATGTCTAGTGGCTGCTGGTTGATCGGCATGGTAGTGTCAGGCCTACTACGAGTTCTCCAGGCCCCCGGGTCCCATTATTCGCAACTCCGCTCCCACCTCATGCAAGCAAGAAGCTAAACAGGTCTGCAGACTACATTACAACAAAAACTTGCAAAGTAGGTGAGCTGACGTTAACGTAGGCTCCAGGGTGTTTAGCCTTTTCCTGGGTTGGCATGCTCCCTAAAAGGTTTGTCTGGGCCTTCACTCTCGATCTCAGGTACTCATGCGCTTTGTGGGATATCATAAGGTCTAGGGATGATCATGTAGTTACTAGTCTTTCGCAGAAGTCTCTCAACTGAGCTAAAACCTCTACAGGAAAGCTGTCTGATACAATTGTGAGACTGAATATCTTCGAAATCAAAGGTGAAATATTTGACGAGCGTTGATCACGGGCATTCGGCGCTTACCGTATCCACTACCACTACGTACTGTTGTTGGAGGTGGAACCGAATGCATCCTTCCTATACCGAAAGAAATAAGCGTTGGCCTTAGGGTGCTTGTTGCAACTTCAGACCAAGGCTACTGACAGCAATGATGGGTCATACAGCCAACACGCATCGCACGGGCATATCTGGGACAATGGAATGAAGAATTGGTAGACGATCGATCGAGATGACTTCCATCACGACGGTAAGAGCTTTCAACACTCTCCTGCCGCACTATCGAACCAACCTCGACACCTCCATAAGGGTTTTAGGGCTCGCGCGCAATAGTAGAACTAGCGTTTAATAAGTAAGACAGAACAGAAGCCTTTTTAGAGCAAATTGCTAATAACATACTTTTAGGTATAAAATTTAAAGCTAATTAGCATTATTTATAGTATAGAAATAGTATATAATATAAGAGCGGGCATGTAAAATAGTAGAGGCTAGAAATACAAGAATATTAAAATGCGTGTATTTTAAAATAGTTAGAAATAGTTAACTATTAAAATAACTTCTATATTAAATAGTGTATAATAAAGATAATAAGTAATATAAATATAAACTAATAAAATAAGCTTAACGTGTAATATATTACTAAATAATTATTATTATAGAAAGCTATCTTACTTCTATATATTTACACTACTTAAAAGAATAATAATATACTTTTTAATATAAATCTCTTTAGAGCTAAAAGTATACGTATAATCTAAGTATTATAGTGTTAAGTATTTCTATCTAGTTATAGTTCTACACTATACTATAGCTTATAGTTCTAGCTCTAAAGCTACTTAGATTCTTTCTAATTTAGCTACTAATTCTACCTACCTAGACACTACTACACTAGTTCTACCTATAGGCTACCTAATTCTGCTGCACCTAGAATAAAAAAAAAGCCTACTAAATATAGTATTATATTCTACTCTCTCTACGCTCTAGCTCTTTTTATCTATTAATTATTAATAACTCTAATCTCTATAGAAAATAGTAACATTCTTAATTACGTAGCTTCTACTAGTTTAGGTAAAGATATATAAGGCCTAGCTATTTATTCTTTATTTCTATAGCTAATATTAGAAGAGAGGTATAAATAGCTTATACCTATAGAGAGCGTATATTAAAACTAGTCTACTACTTAGTTAGCCTATATAAAAGAAAAGAAATAATAGAGAATAGATATTAAATCTAAAGACTTAGCGCTAATACGCTAATTATAAGGTTATATTACTTCTCTACTTACTATAAATAGTTAGTATTTACTTATTATTAGAAGAACGCGTTATACTTAGAATATATAGGCTACTAGAGTAAAGCTAAGTAATAAACAGCTTCTTTTTAGTATAATACTAGGCTAGATAGATCTAATAACTTTCTTATTTCTCTTATTAGCCTAATTAAAATTCTATCTAGACGTGTAATATATAGCTAATTAACTAGAGTACTAGTAGTGTTAGAATCTAGAACTATAATATAGAGATACTAGTTTTAATAAAGAATAGAAGATAGTTATAGATATAGACGTTAAGAATAGATTACTACGTTTAGTAGATTATACAAAAAGACTATACTAATATATTATTAGTTATTATACCTATAATATTAGAGGTATATAAACTAATATAGAAAAAGCTATTATATAGCTAAGCTACACTATTATATCTCTTGTCTTAAATCTACTCTTTTTATTACCTAATTCTAACTCTACTTTACTATTTCTAGACTAGCGCTTTACTACTAGCTTTCTATTTATATCTAGAGTTAGTAAAGTTATATAAAGATTAGCTATAGCTAAACTACTATACTTTAGAAGAATAGACTAGTATTTAGCATGTTTTTATAGCTCTTCTACTTAGAGAAAGTACTTAATTATCTATAGAGTAATAATATAAACGTAATTAAATAGAATAAGTAGACTTAGATAATTAGAATTACTAAGAGAATTAGAGTTAAATACTAGGCGCTAGGTAGAAGCTATAGAAAAGAGCTTAAAAATAGTTAGGCTTCTAATAATATATAAACTTCTAGTTTATATATAATATCTAGAAATATTAAAAAGCTATAGCTAAAACTATAGCTAAAACTATAGCAAAAATAATAGCAAAAATAATAGTAAAAAACTATCTAATATTATAAAGTAAGAAAATTAAGATTTTATTTTAGTAGATTTAAGAGTATAGATATTAGAGAGATTAAGATAAGAAAGAGAATATATATAGTTATATAAGCTAAGAAAAAGGCTTAAGATTCTAGAAAGAGAATTAGAGTTCTTAGAAGAGTATTATAGAACCTAATTAGAACTAACTCTTACTATAAGCTTATCTAGATAATTACTATCTAGACTAGGTAGTAAGTAGAGAAACTTAATTAGTAAGAGATAAGAACTTAGACTATAGAGAGTAAGAAGAGAATATTTCTTCTATAGAATCTAATAGTTCTAGCTATCTATTTAGGTATTAATATCTAAAGCTATTATCTACTAGTAACTCTTATAGTTAAGACTAATATATTATTAGTATTTTTAGTTTTATATATATAGTAATTTTAACTTATATACTACTAAATTTTACTATTTACTATAAAGTAAATATAGACTTAGCTACTAAAAAGTTACACTTACTCTTACCTATAGTATAAACTTAGCTATTTTAGCTTTTAGCTTCTAAGTAAACTAAATATATTCTCTACTTATAATTAGTGTTTAACGCGTTATTTTACTAAGTTTATACTTACTAAGAGGCTACCTTTATAATATATTAAACTTAGATTTTAATTTTTTTTAAAGTTAGCTACTATAAGATTCTATTATTATCTACTCTACTTTTTACTTAGAGTACTATAATTATATTACTTATACATACTTAACCTAGTAAGCGCGCTACTATAATAAGTATATTTTACTAGTATTCTAATATTATTATTTACTAAGACTCTAAAAAGACTAGAATTAAAGTTATTTATATATAGCTTATAAGAGTAATCTAGTATTTAAGAAGCTTATAATATAGTATTTAAAAAAGTATAATCTCTATATAAGCTACGTTTACTTATATTATTAAGTTCTATACTACTTATTTCTAGCTATTTATTAGTATTATATTTATAATAAGTTAGGTTTTAGGTACTTTAGGCCTTTATAGCTATAGCTATAATAAGTAGATCTTTTTAGATTTATTTAGTAATATAACTAGAATAGTTTCTAGTAGATTAGTAAACGCGTAAAGTTATTACTTAGATAATATATTTATACTAGATAAATAACTAATAGTAGAGAATAGCTTATATATAGTAGACTCTAAGCTTTAACTAAAGCGTTCTTACTCTAGATATAAGTAATAGATATATATTAAGAATATAGAATCTAGTAGAGTATATATACTACGTTATAGCTCTAGATTAGACTTAGAGAGTATTATAGTGTTAAAGTTAGAAAGTAGTTGTAATTGCTTAATTGCAGACACGTAATTGCTTAGCTCTTAGGTATATAGCTAGAGTTTTTATTCTAACTTTCTTTTGTAGTAGATTAATTATAATATACTTAATTATCTCTAATTATTAATTGTCTCTAGCTCTAATAGTTATAAGCCTAGCTACTTAATTGTAGAACTAATTTCTACTACGCATTAAAGCTTACTAGAAGATAGATTAATTAATCTTAATTCTACTCTACTCTCTCTAAACGTTCTGCAATTAGAACCTCTCTTATATAATTACTTACTTGCTACCTACCTCTCTATATTACTATATTAATTCTACGCTCTAACTCTATAAATATAAGTAATTATAATATAGCTATTATAGCTATAAGTATGCTTCTTAAGAAGTAATCTAACTAGAACACCTAGTTTGCGCTTTTTAAGCAACACTATAATAAGAAGAGTATCTAAGAAGAGATTAATTCTAATCTTCTAGATATTAAATATATAGATACTTGTAAGCCTAAGTTC